TTGAGCCTTGTGTGTGCAGATATTCATCTCATTGAGTCCCTCAGAATATTGACTATGTTTGTTGTTGTGATTATGACCTTACTTCTCATGATTCTGTCCTACATTTTTATCATTGCCACCGTCCTGCGCATTCCCTCCGCCATAGGGCGGAAAAAGGCCTTCTCCACCTGCACCTCTCACCTCGTGGTGGTTTCCATCTTATATGGAGCTCTTGTCTTCATGTACGTGAGGCCCAACGTTCAGTCTTCATACCGCTTGACAAGGACTGTGGCGATCCTGAACACCACTCTTACCCCAATGCTGAATCCTTTCATATACACAATTCGGAATGCCGAAGTCAAAAAAGCTGTCCAGAATGTAATCCATAAAAGGAAAGAAATGTTAAATTGAGACAATGAGTGGAGAAATAGTTCCAGCACTTTCTTATGCAACAGGAATGAGATGAAATTTAGAGAATTGCGGCATTGGTGGCATTTTGAGTGTGGCAATCAGAATTCAATCGGCAGTTTCAGACTTAAAAACACCATTTAACTTTATAGTTTACAATACAGGTAAGTTCTTGACTTACAATTACAATTGACCCCAAAATTGTGAGACATTTGTTAAGTGAGTTTTGCCCCATTTAACAACCTTTCTTGCCACAGATGTTAAGCGAATTACTGCAGTTGTTAAATTAGTAACATGGTTCTTAACCAAATCTAGCTTTTTCATTGACTTTGCTTGTCCGAAGGTCGCAAAAAGGGGATCACGTGACTCTGGGACACTGCAACTGTCATAAATATAAGTCAGTGGTTAAGCCTCTCAATTTTGATCATGTGACCATGGGGATGCTACAATGGTCATAGGTGTGAAAAACTGTTTTCAGTTTTTCAGTGCCATTGTAGCATCAAGTGATCACTAAAGAGATGTTTATGCTCAAGATTTGTAAATCCTAAACATGTTAACAGCATTTGTTGTGGTTCTTTTGTGTACAATACAATCCATAGTAAGAAATTAACTTTTTTTATAAAGGAAAGTGGGGATGGGTTCCCTGTATTTCTTGGAATTTATATCCCAGCTTTCTTCTTAGTGGCACTTAAAAGCTAAATAAATTAGGGGGGGGGAATCATTCAGTCCAAACATGTTTATAAGACAATAAAAATATCCAGAAAATTAGCAAATCTCAGAACAAACTGTATTGTGACTTTGACATGCTTGTCTTTTAACTAGTCATTAGTCCATAAAAAGGAAGGGACCTCAAAGTGGAAAACAGAAATGGTGTGACAGTTTTTTCCGTGCACTGCTTTGCAGAATAAAAGGGTGATGCTAGAACCAAAGTTCCCAAAAGTTGTAACTGAAATGTAATTTTGGATTTAATTTATCCTTTTCTTACTTTTTAAATAATAAAAAATGAGCATCAATATCACTAAATGAATGATTTTAAGGACTATCTGTGAGTATTATTTAAAAAAGGAACAATGCATATAATAGCAGTTTCACCAGATATTTCAAGATTGACTCTGCCCACAATATGGAGAGGGAATGTCGCTTTTTGATGTCCTCACCATGAACATCTGCACACACAAAGCACAGTGTGCAGTTTGTGTTTTTCTCAGTTGCATGCAATTGAATATTCATTGATTCCAGTTAAAAGTCAGGATTTCCACCACATTACTTAAAAATCCACCTATAGTTTACTGCTAAATCAGAAGAGTGAATTTGAACCTTCAAATAAGGGAGAGTAAGATCTTCTCTTCATTTTCATTTTTATCATTATCTTTTATGTTTTATTGGTTTTATTGTAATTTATTTTATAGTTGATTTGCCACTCAGAGTTATTGTGAATTAGGCAGCACACAAGTTGAATAAATTATGATCAGTTTCATTATCTGCAAAAAAAAAAGAATTTGAACCTTCATCTATCTATCTATCTATCTATCTATCTATCTATCTATCTATCTATCTATCTATCTATCTATCTATCTATCTATCTATCTATCTATCTATCTATCTATCTACCGTATCTATCTATCTATTCATTCAATCAATTTCTATAGCCACCCAACTCAACCAAGTGATTCTGGGCATCCGAGAGATGTCATTATATTCTTGGTTTTCTTGTACACACTTGAAGACTTACTCATCATTCTGTTCTCATTCATTCATTCATCCATTCATTCATTCATTTATCACATTTTTAAACTGCCTTCTCCCTCATAGGAGATTTTAGATAAACATTGTTCAAAGAGTAAAATAGAGAGAAGAAAATAATTTAAAAGACAGAGAAAATATGTACATCATATATACTATCTGTCAAGGTTGAATTGCTATGGGGCCTGTCAACTTCTGTCGCTAATCAATTTGTCAGAGAAAAGGGGGAGGGGTAGAAGATGAAGGGAGCAAATGTAATGCCAAGAAGCCATTCAAAGACCGTGGGAGCCTGCACCACACCAAGGTGACTGCCGCAGGTGCTCGATGGAGAACTGAACTGTTCCCTTAACAAAAAGGAGTATTACTATTGGACAATGTGAACACCCAGTGGGTGGGGACATGGGAATCTATTGTTTAACTAAGTAAGCTTTTGCACGGGAAAACTCAGAGCTGGTTTTGCTTCTTTAGTTCCGAGATGGTGTATCCAATAAAGTTTTACTCTTTGGAACTCAATTGCCTTAAGGAAATATTTTGTTTTGCTAGTCAAATTATTGACACTATCCTTGTTAGTCATCCTGGCTTTTATGATGTCCATACAAGACCTTAGACCTTGCTTTTTGTTCTTTATAGACTTTTCACTGCTTTCTTCCTAGAGATCTCAATGGTTCCACCCAACCACTTCATTATCAGTTTTTCCTTATTCTCAACATATTCACTCTGTCTTCATACATTTCTTTGCAATTCAATCATCATTTAGTCTTTCAGTAAAGGCCAAATAACCTCAATATAATTAATTTGTGCCTATGCCTCATTTTTCAGTCAGACCATTTTTATTTAATTTCCCATTCATTCTTGATACAAACTCTTAAAAAATGGATCAATCTCACTCCTCCACTGTACACCAGTGTATCTGAAGTTCTTTATAAAATTATCATTTCTTGAAGGAAAGTTTTACATCACTTTCAGTATCCCTGAGGGCCTGTTAAGAAATCACATAAGGGGGGGGGGGGAATCCTTCCAGCTATATAAGTTATATGTAAGGCTTTTCTTTGTTAATATGGTTTCCAGAATGTATTCTGTGGTGGCTAAGAAGGTAAGAACAGAGATTATCTATTTGATTTGGACTGTAATCCTGGTTAATATCTGTAAAACTGATGTTTGTGAGGAAACTTATCAATATCTGTAAAACTGATGCCCTTATCAATATCTGCCCTTATCAATATCTGTAAAACTGATGTTTGTGAGGGGAAAAAAATCAAATTTCTCTGTGCTCAAAGGAGAAAATATTTACATGTAGAAGCTATGATGATAGATAACCAAATAGCTAACCAGCAAGATAGACTGTGTGAGACACGATATATATATATAATGATAGATAGATAGATAGATAGATAGATAGATAGATAGATAGATAGAGATAGAGATAGAGATAGAGATAGAGATAGAGATAGAGATAGAGATAGAGATAGAGATAGAGATAGAGATAGAGATAGATAGAGATAGAGATAGAGATAGAGATAGAGATAGAGATAGAGATAGAGATAGAGATAGAGATAGAGATAGAGATAGAGATAGAGATAGAGATAGAGATAGAGATAGATAGACAGACAGGTAGACAGACAGATGAGCCATGATATATAGATATTGTGAAAATGTAGGTGATGGTGTTGAAATGATAGCCATAAATCAAATGATGTTTTGGGACCCCAGATTACATATAGCCTTGAAAAGCATGTCAGGATTCAAACTCCTGTCATGGATATATTGATACTATGAAATAAAATCCCTGTGAATGCAATGCTAAGTTTTTTTTTTCTGTTGTATTAATCGGTTTGAATTGGGGAGGGGGGAAGGTTTCTAAGGACCCATTCAAGATGTAGTCTGGACCATTGATGATCCAGCAGCCTTGAATTTTGCATCCTTCGCTTCTAAGAAAAGCAGCTTATCTCCCAAAGGATAATTCTTCCTACGAGATAAGAGGTATGAACTTAAGAAGCAAAAGATAGCAACCTTCTCCCATAATTGTGTATGAAACTTCTTTCTACTCATGCAGTAGAAGAAAAGTTACTTCCTGATCAAGTGATGACTTCACAAAAGCTGTTCTTGTGAAGGTAATTAAAATGATCAAAACCTCATTTGTAAACTGAGAAGAGCATCTTAAAAGGCAGGAAAAACATTTTGTATTTCCCTTTTGAAGTTCAGCAGGTATTTGAGCCCTTGGAAGATAATAGAAAGGAATCAGGAAAGATCATCCAATTATTTATCTGATTTATATTCTATTTTTCGTTCAGAAACTCAAACCTGCATTCATTTTTCCGTATATCCCTCCCTCCATTTTTTCCCCCACCACAACAAATATTTCTCTGTTAAGAAGTATGTAAATAGTAACATCTTTACATAAACTTAAATCATTTAAGAAGAGATTGGACAATCATTTGTCTGAAATGGTATAGGGTTTCCTGCCTGACCAGGAGATTGGACTAGAATCCCTTCTAGATCCCTTCCAACTCTGTTATTCCATTCTATTCTATCTTCCATTTCCAGCTGAAGCATGAACCAAAATAAAAGAGTCTGTCTTCTAGCATGCATTGTTTGCAGCTGTTAAATATTATTTTGAAAAATGCAAAATGCCGAATCAGAAGTGACCTTTCTCCTTCTGAGCTTAAGTATATATGGACAACAATTATGTGAGTCCACTATTTATACCTTATTTTAAAAGATAATAATTTGAGCTTGCAAGAACAATTCTCATATGAAACTTCAGATATTAATCCTGGATATCAAAATATTATTTAAGACTCACTATCCTTTATTCAGGAAGTTGTTTATTTTCCTTACATACGGTTCTTTTTATTGCAGGAAAGAAGAAAATGGCCAATGCAACGTTGGTTGAAGAGTTCATTCTTGTGGGATTTCCACAATTACGTGAGCTGACAATGCTGTTTTGTATCATAGTTCTACTGATGTACCTTCTAGCACTTCTAGGGCATACTTTAATTATCTTTGTTGTTATCATGGAACCCATGCTCCATACACCAATGTATTTCTTTCTCCTCAACTTCTCCCTTGCTGAGATCTGTTCCACATCAGCTGAAGTCCCCAAAATGTTGACCAATATCATCGTGGGTAAAAATACCATCTGTTTTTTTTGCTGCATGGTACAATTTTTTACAGTCTTTGTCATGGGAGGGGTTGAATTCCTCATGCTCTCCATCATGTCCTTTGATCGCTACATGGCCATTTGTAAGCCTTTACTGTATAAAACGATCATGACCAATCAATTCATCCTTCAGTTAGCTTTGGTGGCTTGGATCAGTGGGTTCCTGATCATCTTTTCTCAAACAGTAGTGATATGGTCATTTCCTTATTGTAGGGATAATATCATTGACCACTTCTTTTGTGATGTTGGACCTGTTCTGAAATTGGCCTGTGCTGATACAACTCTGATAGAGCTAATTGGTCTCGTCTACGGTGCCACTTTCATGTGGGGGTCCCTTGGTCTTTCCCTGATATCATACATGCACATTGTAGCTGCTATAATTCGGATTTCCTCTGCCACTGGATGCTCCAAAGCCTTTTTCACCTGTGCATCACACCTCACCGTTCTAATCATCTTCTACACAGCAGACATGATTATGTACTTGCGTCCTTCTACACATGGTGATCCTCAACTCAATAAAGTCATATCTCTTGTGCGCACAAGCTTTGTACCCATGTTAAATCCTTTCATTTACACAATCCGTAACAGTGAATTCAAGACAGCTCTTGACAAAACAGTGAGACGGATGGTGGTTCTCTAGGACTTAGGAATTTTATTTTTTATTTTTTTAAAGGAAACTAAAACGGTGATTTGTTATGGTTTTATACAATTATTAGCATTATTTAATTAAGTAGCAATATAATTATTAGATTGTATATAACATATATTTGGTTTACTGCAAACACATTCTTGTTCTGAAATTTAAATAAAAAACAAAACAAGTGTTAATATCACTTTACAATGCTTTGGTAAGACCACACTTGGAATACTGCATCCAGTTTTCTCACCGGCATGTAAAAAAAATGTTGAGACTCTAGAAAGAGTGCAGAGAAGAGCAACAAAGATGATCGGGGGACTGGAGGCTAAAACATACAAGGAACAGTTGCTGGAATTGGATATGTATAGTTTAATGAAGAGAAGGATGAGGGGCGACATGATAGCAGTGTTCCAATATCTCAGGGGCTGCCACAAAGAAGAGGGAGTGAAGCTATTCTCCAAAGCACCTGAAGGCAAGACAAGAAGCAATGGATAGAAACTAACCAAAGAGAGAAGCAACCTAGAACTAAGGAGAAATTTCCTGACAGTTAGAACAATTAATCAGTGGAATTGCTTGCCACCAGAAGTTGTGAATGTTCCAACACTGGAACTTTTAAAGAAGATACTGGTCAGTCATTTGTCTGAAATGGTATAGGGCCATAGTAGTGAATTTATGGCACACGTGCCAGAGGTGGCACGCAGAGCCCTCTCTGTGGGCATGTGTGCCATTGCCCCAATTCTAGGCCTTCAGTCCTGTCCATAAGCAACCTGCATCAATACCCACACAGGGTAAGGTTGCTGTAGCCACCCCTACCTCCCCCAAACATAAAAAAAGTTCCATCAGACTTTCTAATCTCATGAGATCTCAAAAAGTTAGAAAGTCTGATGGAACTTTTTTTTTTTACCAATAGTCCCACAAACACACGGCAAAGGCTGAGAAGCGAACAGAGAAACGGGATGCAGCTGAAAGGCAGGTTAGAAAAAAAAAATGATTGGGGGAGGCAAGGCATCTAGGTGGGGGTGGGGGTGGCAACCTTAACCTGCATGGTGGTGAGAGGGTGGGGCGTGTGCCCTTCCCATGCCAGGCCAGACCCTGCAGTTCCGGGGGGCGTGCTGGGTGGTGGTGGGCAGGGCAATGAGGTGGGGGCTGACAGGCTGACCAAAGCAGCAGGTGAAGCGTGGAAGCTCGGGGATGGAGGGTGCTGAAGTGGGCAGTCGGAGTGGAAAGTGGCCTCAGAACAAGTGGGGCAGGTAAGGAAAGAAATCCTCGCTCCCTTCAGAAACTGCTTTTCTTTCCTTACCTGACTCCCAGCCCCATGCCGTTTCTCCTTTGTGGTCCATTGCCACTGCCACGTGCAAGGAAACAAAGGAAGGTTTTTTTGGGGAAAAAAAGGTCAATCAATCAATTCCAACTTCTCATGAAAGATTATTATCCCACTTTGGGTCCTGAAAGGTCTGCAAGAAAACCACCATCATCAGAGACACACACACCAAGGGACCCTTCATTTTAACTCTGAGCCAGAAATATTCTCCTTGATTGGCATTACGGACTGTCTCATGGCAGAAGAACCTGCCTGGCAGGACCTCATTCCTCTTTCCCATGAGGCACATCCCAATGACCCCATCCTTCCTCCAACGTTTCCTGGACCCTAAAGGCCTATAAAGTTTCTCTCAACTACCAGCTCTGGCACTCTGGCACTCCAAGCTGCTCCACCACCTCTCGGGGCTTCACCTAGATGAGGGCACCACAATCCCCATTCATGGATCGCGATGCTCCTCCAAAGGCCGACTGCATCCTCCCTTCATTGCCTCAGTTCTACACAACCCCAAAATAACCTTCCAGGAGCAAATTCTCCTCCTTTTTTCTCTCTTACCCCATCCACCCTTCACAAATATATCACCCTTCTCTTGCTCCCCTCCAGACCCATAACTGGCACCCCACTCCATCAACCCCACTCCAAACGCCAGTGGGGCTGGGTCCCTCGGTGATGATGGGAGTGAAGTTGAGGACCAGTGGCACCAGTTTCCTTTTGGCTGGCACAGCAGCAGCAGCAGCAGCAGTGGCAAAGGCTGAGGCTCGCATTCTGTAGCACCTAGCGAGGAATGCGCCTCAGAAGCAGCAGCAGCAGTGCCATCATCATCACCAGGCTTGGCTGCCCTAAGCGAGGCCGAGGCTGCAAGCGAGGCCTAAACCTCTCAGCCCAGCCCTGAGGTAAAAACGTGAATAGGCAAGAGGAGGAGAGGAAGGGCCATGGCCAAAGCGCGAGCCCGTCCTTGAATGCGTGAGGGAGAATCTGGAAAAATACCCATCTTCTTCCACCAATTCACCATCCCACCACTGGCTGGGGCTCTCGACACTATCCACCCACCCTCTCCTCATCATTGGATGGCTTGCCCGGGAGGTTGAGGCCATAATTTGAGGACCCCTGAGCTACAGACAGAGAAGAGAACTATGCAGCTTTGCCTATAGAGCCACCAAAGCAGGAGGTGGAGCGCCGGAGGCTTGGGGAGGGAAGGTGCAGAAGTGGGCAGTCGAGCCATTGGCAAGAGCAATGTGTCTAAGCAGAAAGTGGCCTCTGAACAAGTAGGGTAGGTAAGGAAACAAATCCTCGCTCCCCCCAGAAACTTTCTTTCTTTCCTTAACTGACTCCCAGCCCCGTGCCATTTTTCCTTCATGATCCGCCACCACTGCCGCATGCAAGGAAACAAAGGAAGTTTTTTTTTTTTTGGGGGGGGGAAAGGTCAGTCAATCAATTCCAACTTTGTGATCTTTCACAAGAAGTTGGAATTGATGATTGACCTTTTCCCCCCCAAAAAACCCTTCTTTTGTTTCCTTGCACGCAACTGCCCACTTCAGCACCCGCCCTCCCCGAGCCTCCACGCTCCACCTGCTGCTTTGCTCAGCCTTCCAGCCGCCATCACAACACCCTGCTCACCGCCACCCAGCATGCCTCCCCTGGGGTTGCAGGGGCTGGCCTGGCATGGGAAGGGCATGCGCCCCACCCTCTCACCACCATGCAGGGTAAGGTTGCCACACCCACCCCTGCCTAGATACCCTCGCCTCCCCCAAGCATTTGCAGAATAAAAGACAAGCATGTCAAAGTCACAATACAGTTTGTTCTGAGATTTGCTAATTTTATGGATATTTTTATTGTCTTACAAACATGTTTGGATTGAATGATTTCCCTCCCCCTTTAATTTATTTAGCTTTTGAGTGCCACTCAACAAGAAATTTGGTTGAGAGTTAAATTTTACTTAACAGGTCGAAATGATTCCTTTTTTTTTTTTTACACTGTTTATATAGAAAACTATTTTGTAATAGCAGAAGAATTAGAGAGATCTATGATAAGAGAAGAAAGGGTATTAATTAATGATGTATTAAATTAAGAGATGGAATATATGTGAAAATATTAGAATGTTATTCTTGGAATTATATGTGTGTTGTAGAAGGGATACCCAAAATTTTATTAATATGTTTGTTTAAGATTAATTGGAATATTTTAATTGAAATTACTGGAGCTTAAAAGCTGGAGTGATTTTTGTAGATGTAATAGTAGGGATGATTCTGTGGATTGATTGAATTTTAAGAAGAAATAGATTAAACTAAATTTGTTATATCATGTGAGGAAATAGAGGGGGGAATTTTTAAGGTATTAATTTTAGTTATATATATATATGACTTGTTTTGCTATGATTGATTACCCTTTCACCACGGTGTTTTCCTGAGCACTTTGATGTAAAAATTAAACAAAAACAATAAAATGTGTATAAAAAAAAGAAGAAGAAAGCTGGGATATAAATTCTAAGAAATACAGGGGTGAAAAAGCCACTTTCCTTTATAAAAAAAGTTAATTTCTTACTATGGATTGTATTGTACACAAAAGAATCGCAACAAATGCTGTTAACGTATTCAGGATTTACAAATCTTGAGCATCAACCTCTGTTTAGAGATCATTTGAAGTTACAGTGCCAATGAAAAAACTGATTTACGACCATTGTAGCATCCCCATGGTCACATGGTCAAAATTGAGAGGCTTAACCACTGACTTATATTTATGACAGTTGCAGTGTCCCAGAGTCACGTGACCTTCTGACAAGCAAAGTCAATGAGAAAGTCAGATTTGGTTAACAATCTTGTTACTAATTTAACAACTGCAGTGATTCACTTAACATCTGTGGCAAGAAAGGTCATTAAATGGGGCAAAACTCATTTAACAAATTCTCTCAATTTTGGGGTCAATTGTAATTGTAAGTCAAGGACCACTTGTATTGTAAACTATAAAGTCAAATGGTGTTTAAAAGTCTGAAACTGCCAATTGAATTCTGATTGCCTCACTCAATCCCGCAATTCTCCTAAGATTAATTACAATATGATAACTCACTTTGTTTAAGAGCTCTCAGAATAATGGAAACTTTCCTTAATCTTAATTTCTCTTGGGAATTTTCCCACTTAGAGATAACTCTCGCTGTTATTATCAAGCAGTTGGAAGAAAAATGTTGATAGGAAAAGGTTGAAGGAGACATATTTGGCTATAATTTCTCAGTGGAAATTATAGGAAGTGGCCAGAACTAATGGTCATAAGAAACCTATGGCCATTTCCATATTCTCTCCCAAAAGCATATTTATTCTATCAAATACAGGTAGTTATCGACTGACAATGGTCCATTTAGTGACTGTTCAAAGTTACAATGGCACTGAAAAAAGTGACTTACAACCGTTTTTCACACTTATGACTGTTGCAGCATCCCCATGTTCATGTAAAAATAAATAATAATAATAATAATAAAAATAAAAATAAAAAAAATAAAAAAATAAAAATAAATATAAATACAAATAAAAATAAAAATAATAAAAATAAAAATAATGTTGTAAGGGACCTTGGAGGTCATCTAGTCCAACCTCCTGCTCAGGCAGGAAACCCTATACCATGTGTGAAGAAAACCCTATACCATGTGTCATGGTTCTGACAGACAGAGACAAATAATTAGAACTCCGAGGCTTGCAAGTTCCTGAAAGAACATGTTTATTGATACAAAATATCGGCACATCAAAAGTGAAACCAAGTCTGAATAGACACATAACAATCCCCAATACAAAGTTAAGAAATCCCACTCCTAAAGCTATGCAAGATACTACGTTCCCCAATACATCTTCTTGGTGGGCTTTTCACAAAATGCCCAGCCTGCAGTCCTGGGAGCAGCCAATGACCTTGGTTTCCACAGGAGAAAATCTTTTTATTCTAGCGAAGCACCTGGTAAACCCCCTCCCTCCCTGCTATGTGTCAATCGGAAATGAGTAGGGAAAGTGGCTGCAGCCATGCTCATTTTCAAAGTTGACACTATGGGTGATGAAAACCCTATACCATGTGTGATGAAAATTCGCACTTGGCAACTGACTCATATTTATGACAATTGCAGTGTCCCAGGGTCATGTGATCCCATTGTGCAGCCTTCTGACAAGCAAAGTCAATTGGGGAAGCCAGATTCACTTAATAACCCTATTACTAACTTAACAACTACAATGATTCACTTAGCAACTGTGACAAGAAAGGTTGTAAAAATGGGGCAAAATTCCCTTAACAAATATTTCACTTAGCAACAGAAATTTTGGGCTCAATTGTGGCGGTAGATCAAGGACTACCTGTATATATGGCCATCCATCTCAAAGAAAGTGACTCTGGATGGTGTAGAACTTTAGAGAGTTACAGTTAAACATTCCTTAGGTCCATCCTCACTTCAGGATCACAAGGGACAATATGCATGGGCTTATCCTTGCAAAGTGATGCCAAAAGGTAGCAATTAAAAAAAATATATAAAAAATGTCTGGTGACCCCAAGGGGTCGGAAAGTTGCCCTGGAAGATAAGGGTATGGCTAGCTGATGAGAGCTAAAAAGCTCGAAATAGCTATTCTAGTGTCCCATTTAATTCTTTAACTCTTTGTCAACAAAAAGAAATTTGAATCTGTAGTGTATCGCAGTAGCAACTTGAGCCTGCTTAACGCTCCTAGGCTGGGGCTGCAAGGCAAAAGTGATCATAATAGTAGAACTGCAGTATAGCAGTTACAAAAAACAAGGTGCATCAATCAGACCGGTTTGTCCGAAAAAAACTTTATATATATACACCTTAAAAATCACATAATCAAAGAGGGGACAAAATAAGACTCTAAAACTTTAACCACATCTGTTTTGAACTCTTTCCTAAAATGTGGTCACCCTGAACATATTTGTTCTACACCCTAGATTCCACCAGAGAGAAAATGTTACGGACTGTTCATGTTATATATGTCATGATGGGACCTGAAAAAAACCATTTGTATAGAAGATTTGAGAAAGTAGGGTGAATTATTCAGTATTGACTGATTGAATTATTCAATTTAATCAATCAGTTCAATTCAATCATTCAATATGAACCGTGATGTCGCAGCGGTTAGAATGCAGTATTCTTAAAAAAAAACAAAAACAGCTCATTGAGAAATTAGTGTACGCCCAAATATTGCAATGTTGTCATTCCATATGTTGCAGGAATATCAGAAAAGCTCAGGTGGATCTTCAGCCAACATAACATATGTGCACACTTCAAACCCAGGAATACACTAAGGCAGAAGCTTGTCCACCTCAAGGATAAAACACCCAGACACAAACTGAGCAATGTGATATATGCAGTACAATGCAGAGAGCCCTATGCAGAACTGTACATTGGCGAAACAAAACAACCACTTCATAAACGCACGACACAATATAGGAGAACAAACCCATCAGGACTAGATTCAGTAGTCCATCTGCATTTGAAAGACAATGGCCACTATTTCGCAGATTTCTCACATTTTGGACAGAGAGAATCGCTGGTTTGAAAGAGGGGTCAAAGAGGCCATCTAGGTCAAAACTGAACAGCCCTCTCTCAACAAAGGGGGAGGGATCTGACATCATCTATCTTCAGTCTATATCACAGTCCTTTCAGCAGTTCCAAGAAGGCTCCATACCCATTTGCACTACTCAGGTGACCCTGATGACACAGATAAACCTCCAAATGGCCTCAACGACTCTCTAAAATAATGTAAATGACCAGCTGTTTGCAAGGAGTATAAATCCTTCCATTCCCCCACCATCCAGTCAGAGCTAAAGAAGTTTCTTGGATGAGAAGCAATAAGTCTTCAAAAAAAAACAAGAAAGTCCAGTTGCCTCATGAAAAAGCACCTTTGGGATATGGTGCTCCATAGTACTTTAGTCAGTCATTTCTCTATTTTTTTAAAAGAAAAAACTTTATTTGTGGCTCTTCTTAAATACTTTATTCCAGGTTAATCCTCTTTTCAGAGAATCTTTAACTTCTTTATTCCTGAGAGTATAAATAAAAGGGTTGAGCAATGGTGTAACCAAAGTATTGAGAAGGGAGACTACCTTGTTCATATTTAACGAAGCATGTCCTGTTGGTCTGACATATATAAAAATAATTGCCCCATACAACAGAATAACAACAATTAAGTGAGAGATACAAGTAGAAAAAGCCTTTTGTCTTCCAGAAATGGATGGGATTTTCATCACAGTGGAGATTATGAAGATGTATGAAACCACCGTCAAGAGGGAATTGCTGAACACCACGATGGTGGCAACCACAAAGACTATCCATTCAATGGGATGAGTGTCAGTGCAAGCCAGCTTTAGCAATGGTCCAACATCACAATAGAAGTGATTGATAGTATTGGGGCCACAGAATGGAAGCCGGAACACTAGAACGGTTTGTACCAAAACGGTCATCAGACCACCAAACCAGGATCCACAAGCCAGTTGAACACAAACTCTGCTACTCATGATTGCGTGATAATGAAGGGGGTGGCAGATGGCCATGTAACGGTCATACGCCATAGCAGTCAGAAGGAAGAATTCTGTGGCCCCTAGGAAAAAGTGGGAAAAAGCCTGAGCTTTGCAACCAGTCAGGCTGATAGATTTCTTGATGGTGAGTAAATTGACCAAAAATTTAGGGATTGTAGCTGTCACGTACATGATTCCTAAGAATGAGAGGTTGCTGAGGAAGAAGTACATTGGCTTATGGAGATTAGGGTCATAAACCACAGTTGCAACAATGACAATATTCCCAGTGACGGTCAAGATATAGATCATCAAGACGCCCACAATCACCAGAAATCTTACTTTTAGGATGCTGGGAAATCCCAGTAAAATGAATTCGTCCACAACTGTTTGGTTCTTCATCCCAAACCTATTCATCCAAGAGCAGAATAATTGTTGAGCAGCATCAGAGGGATGATTCATCAAGATTATTATTCTACAGCTTGATGCTTTATCAGCCAACCCAAACCAACCCAAATCTTTGGCCTAGAAGCAAGTTCAATCAACATCATCACATTTTCCCCAAAGGTGCAGGGTCCACTTTTTGGGACCTAGAACCAAGTTCAGTGGGAATAAAAAAATGTGTTTACATTTTCCAGAGCTTTTAGTGAAATATGTATGGACCAGAAAGATAATGTTTAAAAATAAAGATGATTTATTTTAAAAATTCTGCAACATAAAGTTTTGTTGTATAGTTTCTATAACATGAATCTCTCTATCCATTTTTTTCTTGGGTATTTGAAGAAAATGTTGATCAAACTATGTGCCTATTTTGTTTCTTCTACATTGATGTTTGTTAACTTGGTATCTACACACCTCTATGACATGGCAATTTTAAGGTCTTCTTAAGAGGAAGTGAAGGGGAGCTCTCTGTCCCACTGATTTCCCCTGTTCAATTGTTCTTACTGTTTGTGTGTTTTTCCTAGCAATCAGTTAAAATCTACCTTCCATGTTACCTGAATCCATTAGTCTATCTTGTGAGCTATGGGGTGATAGAGAAAGGAGAAGACTTGACCTTCTTTTATGTGGTATCTTTCCAGAAATTGGAAGATGCCACATAGACTTTCATGTCCAACCTGTTCTTCAGTTCAAGAATCCAGATCAAAGCATTTCAGAGATATGGACGTTCAGTTTCCTCTTGATTTCATCCAATGGAAAGGAGTCTGCCAGATTTAGTATTCTCTCTGGCAATCTATATTGGGAGAGAGAAAAACAGACAAGCAAACATGTATGATGTATATAAGGGCAGCTAAAGCTATTCCCTCCATCTTTGATTGAAACCAAGAAATCAACTAGCAGGACTACTAAAACTCTGTTTTATTCTATTTGGCTATAACAACAGAATCTTGCTAGTCTGACTGTGCTGGATCTCCTTCTCTTTATTATGAATTAGGGAGTCAATTGTCTGATATACTTTTAAATGTTATCTGTTCATGGTGGACTTAAAACATTTTTTTAACCCCACATTGTCTTAGAAATGGAACTTGCATAGTTCCATCAAGGTCAACTTAATTCTCTACAGATATAGAAGTGGAAAGCTTTTCAATAATTTAATAAAATAATTAATCAATAAGTTTAATGTGTTACTATTATCATTTCACTCGCATTCAATTGCTTACAGAGAAATTTATGAAAAATGGGGTTGAATATACATTTAACTCAGTTATTTGACTTTATTTATTATACACAATTATAATTTTAGTTAGATTACCTCTTTTCTGCAAGAATGTGGTCAACTAGTCATTCACAAAAAAATGATAAAAGAAGACAAAATATTCACCTGAGCAGATGCTCAGTTTAATTCATGAAGCAATAGATTGGATGTTATTTCTCTTTTTCACAAACTAACTTAGGCAAATAGTCTAGTCTTTGTATACCACCTAGTGATGGATAATACAATCTTGGTAAGCCAACAACCAAGGTCAGAGAATAGGAAGAACTCCATAGCTCGCCCCTGTTTCAGATAGTCTCTCCTCTATTGAAAACTTCTATTGGAAACTGAAGGAAACAAAACATATTTCTTATAGACTATCATTTGGTTCCTGATGTTATGTCGATGCCTGATTGAGTCCAAAATAATATTCTTATGCCTCATCCCTAAATTTCTGTATTCAATTTGTATTCAGTAATGAAAATAGATTCTTCACCAAGGAAAAAAAAAATATTTCAAGGTTTTCTAATTATTCCACCAAGGAGAACAAATCATTAGAGAGAGAGAGAGAGAGAGAGAGAGAGAGAGAGAGAGAGAGAGAGAGAGAGAGAGAGAGAGAGAGAGAGAGAGAGAGAGAGAGAGAGAGAGAGAGCGCAAGGAAACCCTTGGAGACTTTAGTTGCCCAAAACAAGACAAAACAGAATTTAAATTATTTAAAATTGTGTTTCAAGATTTAATGCATCATTGTCATTGTCATCATCATCATCATCATCATCATCATCATCATCATCATCATCATCATCATCATCACCACCACCACCACCACCACCACCACCACCACCACCACCACCACCACCACCATCATCATCATCATCATCACCATCATCATCATCATCACCATTTTTTAGAATGCAGGATGAGCTGTTTACTTCTAAATGAGAAAGAAAATGTGTTACATTTTTCTATGGGATGAAGTTGTAGGTATTCCAATATTGGAGGTTTTTAACTTTTTAAGAAGAGATTGGACAAACATTTGTCTGAAATGGTACAGGGTTTCCTGCCTGAGCAGGGGGTTGGACTAGAAGACCTCCAAGGTCCCTTCCGACTTTGTTCTTATTCCTCCTCCTCCTCCTCCTCCTCCTCCTCCTCCTCCTCCTCCTTCTTCTTCTTCTTCTTTTTTATTATTATTATTATTATTCCAATTTGTATCCCGCCCTTCTCCCGAAGGACTCAGGGCGGCTCACAACATTATTAAAAACAAAGAGAGACCCACACACCCCACCGAATAAAACCAAATTAAAACCAATATTTTAGTGTTGTGAAAATTAAAATTTCTAAAAAACCCAATTTAAAAATCCTCCCTAGGCCAGGCCCGCTTGTTGGAAAAGCCATGTCTTGAGGGCGCGGCGGAAAGTAAGGAGATCCGGAATAATCCGGATCTCGGGGGGTAGTTCGTTCCAGAGGGCAGGGGCACCCACAGAGAAGGCCCTCCCCCTGGGGGTCGCCAGCCGACATTGCTTGG